ATACTATATGACAGTAAAACAAGAATAGAGTTTAAAGGGGGAGTGATTTGTAAAATATCCATAAAGAAATAGAAAATCTGTTTACAGTTCTGTTTCATATGGGTGTTGAGAGATGAATCCCTAGATCTCTTAATTTTGCTCTCAAAGTGCACCAGATTGATAATTTTAACTTCAATATTTAAAAAGAAAAATCTGTATAAATAAATAAATAATAAATAAATTGACTTGAAACAGTTGCTGATTTAGAGTACTGGCACCTTTTGTATTTCAATTCAAGCACTGAGTAGAATTGTATAAATTGGAAGGCTAACTAGGTAATCAGCTCACCGGTGATTTGCAGCTGCGTGGTTGACCGCGTGTTAGAAAATATGAGATACTGGCTAACCTGTACGTCAATCAAGTGGCAAATGCCATTGTAAGGATGGATGATTTTTTTATTTTTTATTTATTTATTTTTCTAATGCCATGCGATCTACTCCCACTACCATTGCGATCGACGTATTGGGCACACCTGCCTTAGTAGAAGACTTCATTCATACCTCATATCTGTAATTTATTCAGTGAAAATGTGTAATATATTGAGTTTATGGTTCAGTAAATAATTAGGAGTTTGAATAGTGGAGGTCTAACCTCATCACTGTGCTGTTGAGTGATCTGTATGTTGGTCATTATACATTGAGGCTGTACTACACACAGCTGTTGGGTTTGACCTGAGGGACGTGTGTTGTCAGGCCCTACCGAGGGCTGGCATCATGCTGCAGACACTGAGAGACGGACGCTCTTACAGTTGTTGGAACAGTCAGCCTTTGGGAGCCTGAGGGCTTCCTGATTGAGGCAGCATGCTCATCCTGGAGCCTGGACTCAGATGGCACATTAGACAGCATGTTCTCTACAGTATATGTCCCTGAGGGTAGCGGGGGTTGGGGTTGGTTACTATGAAGCATTCAGTGGATGTCTGTGTAATGTTTCCACTCTGACGGATAGGGCTGACCCAGGAGGCATGGCAGGCTAGTCTACTCTTCTTCCACAGAGAGAGAAGGTTCAGCTGTTGGGGAACCATCTTCTGTCTTTCTACTTGTCCTCTCTTCTGCCTCTCCCGGGCCTACCTCAATCTATCCACTCTCTCCCTCTCCGGGCATGGGACTGTTTGACTGAACTTTTGATAATGCATCACTGAGCTCTCAAACACTTAAACAACCAGGCTGCCGGACAGGGACCAGGAGCAACAGGACGGCCGAGCGAAGCATTTGCTCTGAACAAGTCTTCAAATGCCTTCTGTCGAGGGAGTGTGGGACGGCAGGGCCAGGCATGGGACCACCCAGCCAGCCGCAGCGCAGGGCAGGAGGATGGCAGGCATGGGCCCTGCTCAGGGACACCATCAGAACCTAGACTGAGGGATTTTGGGGCAGTAACTTGTAAAGGGAAGTGGGTTAAGTGGGTCAAACTGGGACTTGCTCTGACTAGGGCAGCAAAAGAGCCTATGCCTCCATCAAAATATTTATAAAGATCAGAGACCCTGCCAGCTGGGTTTTTCAAACTCAGAGATTGGCATTGCCTGGCATCACCTTTGTTTTGATGGTTGGAACAATACATTTCTAACTGTCCACTTAAGCAAACAGATTGCTGAGCCTATTGTGATAAAAGTAGCAGGACAAATGTGAAATGTAACCCTTTCTACCTCCACAGCACTCTTTCAAATGGCTTCATTTCACAAGCATAGTCATTATAGAATGAATATCTAATTTGATTTCTGTATCAAACCTTGGTAATAAGCAGAGTTGGAAAGTAACTAAGTATATATACTCAAGTACTGCACTTAAGTTCAATCCTGAGCTACTTGTACTTTACTCGGTTATTTACTTTTTATGTTACTGTATACTGTAAACAATGTGTACTGAAGTTTGTAGGCAAAAGTTGTAGTTTTTACTCTACTTAATGCAATAGTTTCATTTATGAGTTACTTTGCAGCTTCATGTTAATATAAGAAATATAAATCACCTCATGACTTATGATGTATTATTTTGGATTGAAATACCTGGCCGTATAGATGTAATTCAAGTTAGCTCCACCTTTACTCATTTAGAAATATGAAATGATATACATATTAATGGATATAAGTCAGTAATATTATATATATTACTTTTGCTTTAAGTATATTTTGATGGAAATACTTTTGTACTTTTACTTAAGTAAAAGTTTTGAGTTCTTCCTCCATCTCTGGTAATAAGAGCATTGCCTTTTGACCATAAACATGTCTTTAACAAATCAGGACATGTCCTGACATGGACCTAAATAAACAAAATAAATACTAATAATAAATGTTTGTTAATGAAAGAACTAAAGATGTCCATTTCAATCCCATGTTACTTTATACATTTTCCTCACCCGTTTGTCCTCCTTGTCCCTGCTCTTGTCCTTTGAGTCAGAGCGATTGCCGTTGGAGTAGGAGCGGCCCTGTGCCTGGGGGCCCGATGGCAGGGCCAGGGGGGACACCAGGGGGGGCTGCACCTTGCTGAGGATCTTTGAGCAGAGGCGAAGGCAGTGGGTGAGCTCCCCGAGGCCGAGAGCCTGCAGGTGACAGGTCAGCGCCGCCACCATGCGCAGCAGCAGCTGAGGAAGGTGCTCCGTCTGGATCTCGATGTAGGTCTCCTGGAGACGTTGGAAAAACACGAGCCAAGTGAGACTTTGAGGTGAAGAGAGGTGCTATCACTGGAATCTGGAAGGTTGTGAACCTGATATCATGTTATTATCACTTTCATTTAACAACGTTTCAAAAATCGGTTTTGCCTTTGGTTTTCAGAGGAAATATGAACAACAATTAACAGGTCAGTAGTTAAATCTTAAGATACTGAAATATGAGAACAAAATACTATCTGTTACTATCGGTTTGAGTCTGAAAATATAAATATCTAAAAAGCCTAAGGTAGTTAAGGTGCAACATAGCGGCTGTTAATACGATATCTATCCAAAAGGCATCTCTCATCTTCTTTTCTATTTGTAAACCTTAAATGGAAAATCATATATAAATATTTTTTGAACGTTAACTGATTGCTGTTTTCTACATTTAACCCATATTAAACAGTTTTTACCCTTATTTTACACATGAATACACCCCTATTACACCATTGTTACACCCATTTAAGACTGTTATTTGACCTATATTACATCCATGTTACCTTGTAATAACACGTTATTAAACCCATTTTAGACATTGGCCATCTGAAAAGTATTTAAAGTATTTAATTATGCCTTTATCATTGGAGATATTGGACTTACTTACATTATATTGACCTCAATGGTCAGACCCTACCCCTTAGAGCGTGGTGATCTTTCTTTCAAGTTAGTTTTTTCTTTTTTAAAATGTTGAAACATTTTGACTCAACAAGCAAATGACATTTTTATGAAGAAAAGAGCAAAACAATAACAACCAAATTATAAAATGAGCATTATACCATGAAGTAAATTAGAACAGTCATATTTCTTACAAATATGTGAGCATTGCAATAGCATATAACTGCATGCATGCTTGAACATAAAGTACACACACACTGGGCGGGGATTTCATTTTCACAAGGTCCACACCAAACAGCCGGGGGGTTTTGTCCCCAAATGTAATGACTGTTAGAATCCCACTTCTTCCTCTGGATCATTTTAAAACATTAAAGCATGACGTTGTGAAATGATCACTCAAAGCAGGTGCAGGATCAGAGATGGCCTGAGAGGGATGTTGGCAGGATGTTGCAGAAATGTTATCGTAGCCTCAGTGAAGCAGGGTGAGGTGAAAAAGCAGGAAAGAGCAGTACTTTACCTGGCAGATTACCCTCATGCTTCTAGTAGGCTTCAAGGAGAAAGAGCAGATAGTTTGAACAGACAGGAGCAAGCAGAGCACAGGCCGCACAACACACACAACACACACACACACACAACACACACACACACACATTTCCCTTTCTCGATCACAAACTCACAGAACTCTCTTTTTCTCTCGCTCTGTCCAAAACACACGCATCGAGCATTTAAACAGGGTAATAATAAAAGAGTGGTCGATTTCCAACCTATTCAGATTGGAAATACTTTAGAGACAAGCTTATTTCTATGAGGATGCAAACAATATGTTGGCAGGGAACACAGGTATTTTTGTACATGTGTAGAGATTTCACACATAAACACAGAAACATAGAAGAGAGAGGAGGAAGGACACACACACCCCTATGCGGGGGGTGTTAACATCCCATAACGGGACTCAATACATCTGACAACTATGGAGGCATAATTGCAGATCGTTATGATAAGAGTTAATAGGGAACATAATGGATCTTACAAAGGAGGCGTGTGAATGTGAAGCCCGAGCAGGGGCAGGAGGAGACGGGGGAAGAGAAAGAATGCGAGAGATACAAAAAAATGAGGAATACAAAAATGTATTCTACAAAGGAAAACATCAAATACAAGGGAGAAAGACCGCATAATGCAAACAATATGAAGAGAAATGAGCTGAAACAGCAACAGCATGAACGTCTGAAGGTAAAGAGAATGAGTAAGAAATAGGTTTCACAGTTTAATACTAAAAGAAAATCATAGTGGAGTAATGCAAGAAAGGGTAAGGTAAGAGAACATGGACAATAGAAATAAAAAGAAGACAGAAGGAGAGAAAGACAACAAAAGACAAAGAGAGGAATAGACAGAAGTGAAGGAAGACAGAAGGAAAGAAAGGAAGGAATAACAAAAGAAAGATAGAAAGAAAGGAAGGAATAAAGAAGGATAGATAGAGAGAGAAAAAGAAAGATAGAAATAGACTAAGGGCCCGTCCACACGGCGGCGTGTGTTGAAGCTTCAACGCTTCTGCCCATTCACTTTGAATGGGGTGACGTCACGCTTTGCAGAACTGCATTGTGGTTCCGTCGTTACGCGGTGCTCGCTTCAAAAGTTGAGCAATGTTCTACTTTTGAAGCTACGACGGAAGCGTCAGCCAATCGAATCATATGCCAGTACAAGCTCTAGCCAATCAAACCGGGTGCTTGTGGGTCCGGGGCGGGAGATTGATGTGATTGGTTGTTGGTCAAGCTTCAGACAAGCCAGCCGGCATGCTTCAACGCAGATCAAAAGAGCATTGAAGTGTCTCATCGGCCTCCTCCAACCATCACCTGATGGTCCTTCGAGCTGGCCCTTCAGCAGAGGCCCACAGCAGGGGGTGGTGCACACGGTTTGATCAGGTGCAGTGGGCAGGATCAAACTCTGGAGCCAGGCAATCAAATCCAACTGATGAGACGGCAAAAGTAAGTGGCTTTCAATATTGACTGTGCAAAGTTAAACATCACTTAAGAGTTATCATGCTAACATGTTAAGCAGGTATAATGTTTCGCATGTGGTTTGTTCCTACTGTATGTCAAAGAGCTAAACACTGGAGACATTTTGATTTGGTGATGCCATACCTGAATGTGCATCAAAGATGTAATGCCAAATCCTATAATGACTGTTAAGATATTTTATTAAAAACCACAAATGTTTGTGAGAGAGGACAAGTGAGTTGTTGGGATTCTTTTAGGGATGTTTTTCTCACAGTATGACTGTTGATGTGTTCACTGAAACACATTTTTACTGTGATGCTTTGATCCATAGTCTAATTAATATATTAAATTGTTCAGGCTGGGCCAATGTCCCCAAAGTATTAATAATGTAACACCGAGCCAGACGACCTAGAGTAGACTTTAGGGCTTTGAAGCTCTTTAATTTAAGGACAATCTTGACAGTCAGTAAGATTTTAGATCAATTCTACAGCACACTGGAATCCAGTGAAGATAAGCTAGTACAGAAGAACGTGTATTTATGATGCATGAGAAAGCAAGAAGAGGGCAGAGAGAGAGAGAACAGGGCCTAGGGTTGATGCTTAAAGAAACTCAGCAGGAGATAGGAAGATTGGAAAAAGCGGGGGGAAGACTGAAACACAGCTGTCAGTGGGGTGAGTACCGGTATAGAGCTGTGCTGTCAACTACATGAATCACAACACATCTGCTATCATAGTTAGATTTCGGGGGCATGAACTGATTCAACATTTTCATAGACAAAGATAAGTATTAAAATAGGCTACTCTGTACAAGAGTTATTCATATTCATCTCTGTTTCCATCTGAAGCAGCTTGGCCTCCTGACTCTGGTTCTCTCTCTCTCTCCCCCGGGTGCAGGCTGCCTTTCTTCTCTCATCCCTAATACAATCTAAATCTTATTGATGCTTTAGCATTGTATCATAAAATTGTCATTCTTCATGCCAATAATTCAGAAATCCTGTTATACTAAAGTAAAAAACCCTCTGATGTTGTTACCAGTTTGTCATGCATTTCTTTATTACAACACCACATTTTACGGAGCCCCCTAGGGGACATGGAGGGAAACCATTATTTAAAAAGTTTTGCAAAGTTGTTTTTTTAGCTCAATGTACTTTGTGACTAGCCGATTTGCATGTCTGCCCGATTTGCACTGCACAAGCGCGAGTTGGTCTGCCATATTGGACAGCTATGTACGGCAAGCCAAACAGGACATTTGACATCCGTACTGATCTAATAACAGAGTTTTGTTCTTCAATCAACTTTTTTTTAGGGCTGTCAGTCGATTAAAATATTTAATCGCGATTAATCGCATGATTGTCCATAGTTAATCGCGATTAATCGCAAATTAATCGCACATTTTTTGTCTGTTCTAAATGTACCAGAGGGATATTTTACAAGTTTTGAATACTCTTATCAACATATGAGTGGACAAATATGCTTTATGCAAATGTTTGTTTATTATCATTTGAACAATGACAAATATTCTCATGAATATTAAACACAACAACCTCTGAACATTACAAATATTCGCCTCAATTCAACCTGGAACCTTTCTCATACAATACAATAATACAATACAAAGTGTGTGTGTGTGTGTGTGTGTGTGTGTGTGTGTGTGTGTCGGTGCAGTTGTCGGCGAAATGCCGCTCCTCTGTATTCATAACTGTCAAAGCATGAGACTGAAGTTCCCACTGTGGGTCAAAATAATGCGCTGTGACCCCGAGGTAACTGTCATTACTGAGTGAAGTCCAATAGTCTCTGGTGAGTCTTTCTTAAATCCTCCTCTACTTTCGCTTTTTGGACTTCATACAAGTTGTGTATTTTCGGCTCTGGAACGCAATTCATAAGTGCAGTCGTTAGATGTGACCCGAATCATATCACGCAGCTCCTCGTCCTCCACAATGTTAATTGGCCTGCAAGCTGCAGCCACCCATTTAGCGAGCTTTGTTGAAAGTTTGCTGCTCGTAGACGTGTCCAGGCGTCTCCCCCGCACACTTTCAAGTGTGGTCTGCCGCAAGCGGGAGGCAAGAGCGGGGCTGTCGTCATCAGCAGTGTGCTTGGATTGTATAGATCGTTATCGCGTTAACTTGACAGCCCTAATAATAACACACCACCCCGCCACACTGTCATTGTGTCAATCCATTCCCATTGATGGAAATATGGAGAAAGCCCCTGTAAAAATTGCACATGTTTAAGATGACTTTGACAGTGTTTGAACCCCACTTCATCCAAACCTTTTCAACAAAGACTATTTATGTAACTTCGCAAAACCAGCAATCCCTACGCTCAAGCCTTTACTCACACTGTGATTGCTCATTCTTTACACAGCCATCAATGTGCAAAGAAGTTCAGCATTATTAATGCCTTCCAATGATACTCTATGAAAGGTTGTGCCATTATCCCCCTATAAAAATAATTAAAACAGTTGATAGCTGGCTTTTTGCCCTGCAATAGAGTTTGGCTGTTCAGATCAAATCATTTGCCTTTTGACAAATTATTTTGGAGTATACCCCTAGGTTTATCAGCTTTGTTCTGGTGTTAACGGACGCTGATGATGTGAATTCTGCTGTTTAAAGTGTCAGTTTAACCCAAATGCAGCACTCGAGAAACCAAGGAGTATTGGTAAAATACTTTATTGGTAATAATACCAGAGCAGAGCGATAC